ATCGATGGATTGCTGCAGCGAGGGATCTACCAATTGCACCGAGCAATAGAACTAGAAAAGCCTGTAGATCACTTATAATTAGAGAAAGGGCGATAGAAATTCATTCGGCGTTTCCTATAGTACTTTTCTTACCGTATGCCAAAAATGATCCAAAATGTGATATTATCCTACTAGAATAACGCGCTAAGGCCGTCTCTTTTTCGTGTGTGTGTCTGTGTGAAAATGTCTGTCACGAAATTCATAGAGGAAGCTGCAACTAAGCTATCGGGCTGCAATTTTGCATAACATACCGTGCCAGCGTGTAGGCCCACCATGCGCAAAGATGAGACGGTTCGATAAGCTGGTCCCTCAGAATTTGCGCGTCAAACGGGTCCACGCGCCTTTTGGCACGCAAAACCGGGTCGCTACTTTGACTTTTTGCAAAATTATGATTTGCTTGACAAGTCACAACTCTGCGCGCCATGAAGCTTCTAGGCCAAAAAGTGCTCAAAAAGTTTGTTTTTTTTTGCGAAAACAGCGCCAAAAAGTGATGAACGCCTAGATAGTCGATTTGGCAAGGTTTTATTTGAAAAACCGAAAAGATTGTTGCACTGAAATGTAGCCCAAGGTGACTAATATCCTTATGACGATTATCAAACTAAAATAAGTTCAGTAATCCGTCCAAATTCGCATTTTTCCTTGCAACAAAGTTTTTTCTCAAAATTACCGATCGTACATGGAGATGCTTCATGAATGAACGGTTGCTTACAATTTATTTGTGATGCTCAGCATCGCGTGAGTTTCAAAGCCATTCTCACATACGGATAGGGAACCAGTGCGAACCTCCGCGAAGCGGAGGTGACGCACTGGTCAGTGATAAATGATAAAATGCTTGAATCAGTGATAAGGATGAATAAAAACTGCCCAATTTTCGCGATAGCTTTCGACAGTGAGAACTTTGTACCAAAACCTGCTATTCGCGATTAACGCTGTGATAAATGTTCACAAAAGCCTCAACATAGAAAACAACAAGGTGTATCATTGTATGTATACCCCGTCACCACGAATTACGGACATACTGTATATCAAAAGATTCGTCTCATCAAGCTGAAGCCGTATCTTCTTGCAAATTTCATATAAAATTGTTTGGAAGTTACAGCTAAATCTCGCTTATCCCGCAAATCCCGCGAATCCCGCAAATCCCGTGGAGTTGCAAATCCTGCAAATCCCGCGAATCCCGACAATCCCGCAGTTTTGGACAAATTCTACCGCTGCAACTGTAGTTGCAGGGTCCGGTCTTCCCTACCCTAACCCCCAATTTAAACGTGAAATCCATCTGACATACATCTCATAATGGGAAATTTTCCGAAATTCCGAACTCATTGTATTTTTTGCCTTTGCCTTCAGTATCATGACTTATAATAAAGCGCTAAGCGTCTGTGTGTATATATCTGTCTGTCACGAAATTCACAGCGTGAGTTGCAGCCAGCGTCGTGATCTAGAATTTTGGTCATAGTACCCTGTCAGCGTGTAGGTAAACTGTGCAAAATCATAAACCGATCCAGTAACTGGAACCATCGAAAACTGTGCGTCAAACGGATCCACGCGACTTTTCGCCCGCCAAAATGGATCGGTAATTGGACTTTTTGCAAAGTCGTGGATTTGTTCAGCAAGTAAATCCGAGAAACATTGACTTTAGCTCGAAAAATAAGCAAAAAGCCTATTTTTACACAAAATTGGCGCCAAAAAGATGTAACTGAGCAAATTATCGATTTGCCAAGTTTTTACTATAAAAATTGAGAGTATTTTTGGGTAGATATGTAGCTCAGGGTGGTCTTTATCCTTTTGGCGACTATAAAGTCAAAATGAATTCAGTAACCCATTCAAAATCGCATTTGTTTTTATGCGAAAAAATTTTTTCTCCCAAAATTACCGATCTTACATAAAAAAGCTCTAAAAATGAATGGCTGTTTATAATACATTCGAGTTGTTCAGCATCGCGCGGTGAGTTTCAAAGTCATTATTATGCTATCACGAAGAAGGTACGAATAGTAGAGCCAGTGCGAACCTCTGCGAAGCAGAAATGACGCACTGATCATAGAAGAAATCAGTAAATCAAGAAGTATAGTATCATAGAAACCAACTAAAATGAAAGCAAAATTCTTGCAGAAACTCAGTCTTCAGTAACAAATTTTTTTTACAGAATTCTTTACTACTCTTGGATTCAATCGTTTTTTGCGAAAAAGTGTTACATGCTGTCCATCCGACTTTTTAGCATAACCTGGAAGTGTTGCTCCCTATAATGGTTGAGAAAATAGGACATTTGAAACGGACTTCATTATCAGGCTTATCCAATTGTTTACGAAAATGATTGCGCTGTGGCCTAGCAGCCTTTACTTATGTCCTTCAAAGCTAAAGCGTGACCAAGTAAAGAAGTTCTGCGATGGCTGGAAGTGCCCTGTAGAAGTATTTGCAATACTGCGCAAAAGAAGATTGAAAAATTGTAGATATGTATGTATCCTACAAATATCTTGTAGATTTTCGATAATTAAGATTTTTTGTTTACTGTAATCCATAAGTGATTCTATCTAGCATCCCGGCATAATGCCGAAAGGTCAAGGTGATCAGGGAGCCATCGTATGAAAAGTCCCCCCCTCTCTCTTCCAGCCGTAGTGGAGAATCTTACACACTGCATGGGTGGGGGGTGCGAAGTGGGTGTGAGGTAGGTGCGAAGACTAGGTGCGAAGTCCTCGATCGTATGGAAAGTCTTCCCCCCCCCCCCCCAATTTTATTAGGTTGTTGCAAAAATAATGTCCGTTTTGCAAATTTTCATTTTGGAAGGCTATAACTTCGTTCAGTCTCCATATTTTTGAATGCAGTCAAGACCATCAGAAACAGCAAACCTTTCTTAACTTAGCGCGCCCCTGCCCATACTGATGTCGCGAACGGGAAGAAAACCATACGTCAGAAAACTGAAAGTTTTTCTCTTGAAAACCTCGTCTTCAAGAGCTTACAACTCCCTTCAAGCTTTGTCCCTATGTCTGCTAATTAGCTTATTTTGTAGCCGCAGCCAATAGTATAGGTCTGTACAGAAAAAACTCCAACGAAGGAGTTCTGCGAAAAGAAAAGATAAAAATTCAGAAATGTTCACTCTTTTGAGCCTATCTGTTGTAGGCTTGTAAGTGCCTAATTATGAAAATTTGGAATTCTTCGCGCACTGAATAGCGAAGTTTCTCTTCAAATAATGTAGTTAAGGTGTGCCAATTTCAAGCTTACAGAAATGGGCGAAGCTTTGGCGATTGCCTTAATTTTGAGAAATTTCTGACCCATAGAATGCCAGCAGAGAGTGTCTATTTTGACGCGTCAATTTCTCAGTCCACATTTCTCCAAAAATCTACATAAGCATGCAGTAGGTAAACAATCTTCATTCAATACACTTGCTATGTTTGCGGAAGAATTCGTTTATATGCTCCTGAATTGTGGTCAAGAAAGTGGAAGCTATGAAATTCTGATTTTGAGCGCGGATGTGGAAAATGCTGGTGAAGTTCTCACAAGTGAGGATAGCAGCTTAATTCCACCGCAATGAGAAAGTACATGAAGAGAGCTTTCCAATGATATGCAGATGCTATATCGAAAAAGAAAGTCTGATGGGAAAAAACTGTTTGGAATATAAGTCTAGAAAAACGGACATTATTTTCGCAACAACCTAATAGTTTGCAAAATCGCCCATTACCTTTATCGATTTTATCGATTTTTCGGCTTGTTTGACTTGCGCGGCTGGAAGTTGGCACAGTGGGGTAATCGTGCATACTGATTACGAATGCAATATTAGTTTTTGGGATTATCCATTGATTTTATCGATTTCATCGATTTTTCGCGAAGTTTGGGCTACAGGGCTGGAAATTGGTATAGGGGGGGGGGGGGGGGGAGGGCCCGGCACAGATCGTCTAGAAGCAGGCTAGACTTCGTTTTTGAAGCAAAAAGCAAAGGGGATATCGTTTTTGCGGGGTATATAGTGATATCGACATTGGCACACAAGCAAAACTCGATAGAAACGTGAACGAACGATAAACGAACGAAAACGAAAACAAACGTGAACGATAAAAGACCATCCAGACAAACAAAAGCTTTTCAGACAGATTATCACACGATTGACATGCTCTATCGTGCATGGCGAAAAGTGCGCGCGATTTGAAAGCAAGGCCAAAATAAACAAATCGCTTGTTTACAGCGCACGCAGAGTCATATGACACCAAAATTGCATCGTATATATAAAAAATTATTTGCGGAAGAACTATGTAAAAAGATCTGAAAACTTATGTGAAGTAATACATTTTTCAAAATTAGATCGTCTCCAGACGGCCACCAGACGACCTGAGATCGTCTGGAGCATATATTTTCGTCACTTCACATAAGTTTTGGATCTTTTCAGCATGGACGGATGCCCCGGTCAAAAATCTATCCCTGAGCATAAAAACATTTTCATATTACCCCCTATCCGTCGTTTTTTATCATCTTTTCGAAAATCGTCATGTTAAATATCGCGCTCCACCGCCATATCCTCTGAGCGGAATTTCGATCGCATGGTCGCTTTGCTGCAAAAACTGTTTCCTTCGTCCTTTTCCTTCTTACTTGTATCTTTGATGCGAAATTAGCAGATATTCTAAGTATCATTTTAGGAACAGGTTATGCCTATAGTTGATTTGATGGCTGCCAACAGTCGCACTTCGCTAGGCGCTGCATAATCTCTGTGGCCTCTGTCGATGACGAGGTAAGTCTGAATTTGAACATTATTGAGGTATTTCAATTTTGCCTGCGTGAAAGTTTTAAATGCATAAACTCACTCAATTTTTCATGCTGAAATAAAAACAAACTTGGTGTGTAGCTTGTCGTTTTTTTTGAATAATCAGGGATTTCGTCTAAGTTTAAGTAGCCGTCAATTCTAGGATTTGCATAGTGTGACGCTCTTTGCTACAGAGAAAAAAGTTCTTATTTTTGAAGTCTATATTCTATATGTGCGTATGCTTGCAGCTATCGGAGTTGCCAACGATGTTGCTCCGTATCCGTGGTTCCACCAATTTCGCAACCGAAATGACTGCACTCCCCTAATGGAAGCTTGGGCAGCGAGGAACGTACGTAGCGTGAAATGTCTTTTGGATCTGGGAGCTGATGTCAGTGCGTATTCCATCACAATACTCCGCTTATTTATGCTATTGCAGCTGGACAAGAAAAGGTAAGCTCATGATCTTGGATGTTAGATGTTCAGAAATGGCAGAGGCCGAATTCATAGCTGAACTCTTACTTTCGTCATCATTGCCTTTTATTACTTTATGGAAGTTCAATGGTTATCGGTCGTATCTACAAAATTAAGTTTTTTTCGCAGTTTGTAGTTTCTCACAAACACATTTGCATATGATGGCTTACTTATATGCATCACAAATCGATCCAAGTGCCTAGTTGTAGATTGCAAACCGTAAACCTTTTGCTGTGTAATAGTGACTCGCATAAAGAACTAAGCAAGGGGCGACATCATGCACTCTTCTGCATAGGCAAAGCTTTTGAGCGAGTCCTTTTCTGCATCATGTAGCTTTCGCTAATGTTTGTTCCTCAAGCAAGAAAAAGAATGTTATGTTTAGCACTAAGGATCATCTTGATGGGTGTGGCAGATCATTGGCATAGAGTGCAGACGTTGTTTGTCAGTCGTTAGCCCAAATCGTATGAGTTGTTTTCAGGTTGTTTGTATGTTGCTGGAGCATAAATGCAATCTGGACTTGAGAAACGAAAACGGTCATTGTGCTTTGATGGAAGCAACAAGTGCAGGTGCATTTTGCCAAATGTTTTAATTTACTTTTATTTTCTTTTTGATTTTTGATGATTCTTTTTCTTTCTATATCATAAGCATTGATAACATCCGTTCAGGTCATCTGAACATTGTGAAACTTCTGATCCAGTCTGGTGCTAAGGCTGTTTTTGTAAATATGAACAGGAATTCAAGGCTAGATCAGTTCTTTTAGTCAGAAGTTACATCTGTTTTTTTTCTACTTTTTCCAAGCTTCATCTTTTTGCTCTCAGTTTTACTGCGAAAACATAAGCTCTTTTACTCCTGATGATGACATCTATCTTCAGGTCACGCGAAATCTGTTGAATATACTGAAAACCAATGTCGCATGTTGTAAAGCTGCGGGAAATCCATTCATAACACAACTCAGTAGTCTGTACATCGATTTGCCTTCATTGTACGGTATATTATCAGAAAAAGTCTCGGTAGCAGTTGGGCAGAATGGACAGGGAGTGTTTAAGGTTTGTTTAAATTTCTGCTATTTAGTCTGTACTAGAATATTTGTATCTCAGATGCCATTACTGAAAACGCATGCTGTGAAACGTGAGATTACTACTGATTTTACTACTGATGCAGACTACTGATTTTCCTTTCTTCATCTCTTTCTGCTATTTAGTCTGTACTAGAATATTTGTATCTCAGATGCCATTACTGAAAACGCATGCTGTGAAACGTAAGATTACTACTGATTTTACTACTGATGCAGACTACTGATTTTCCTTTCTTCATCTCTGATCTCTCTAATCTTATAATCTCTAATGTTTTTTCTCTGGAAGCAATCTCGCTTGAAGTTCTTTCCAAACTAAATTATGAAGTTGCATCAATAAAGTGGTTCCCGTGAGATATAGTTCATTTATAGAATCGTGACGACGGATTTTACTACGGACTTCGCGCCCACAGAAGCATAAAACGCTCATACAAGAGGGCATCACTTTAACGTTCAGCTCAGTCACTTACACTTATCTAAACCTTATCATACTTGAGCGAAAAACAACTCGAAAAGAGATGAAAACCGAGATGCCATTTCCATAGGTGACGTGCGTGTCGCGCGCGGTCGCGTCATACGGGCCTGTAGTAAACCCCCCGGACGTCATGACGTATAGCTCGGAGTATGCTGTGACATGTGCTGACTATCATGGAGCGAGGCTGGCAAAGCGGCTATCCTTTATCATTGCCGGCGGATGCAATCGATGCGTAGCGTCAGGGTAGTCGCACTTTGTCGCGATATGTCGCGACATATCGCGACATATAGCGACATATTGCGACATGTCGTGACGAACAAGACGGCGAAATACTTTGTCCGTCATAGAGACGCAGAGACATAGCGCAAGACTAGAGCTCGACTACGCCAACCTCGCAATAGGTCGCACATGCACACAGTTCTCTATAACGCACGTCAACCGCAATCAATATCAACAGCTGATAAGCGCCTAACTGTTCGAGCAATGCGCCTCTCCCTATTCTCCAAGTACTTCTGCTGCTGCCGCTTTGGTATTTGAAAAAAGGTGAGTTTATTTTAACTAAAAAGTATGTTAGACTCATACTTAGCCATATTTTTCGTACTTATGCAGTTTTTCTTCTTTATTTTTGCTATGCACCTTGTTTGAACAAAAAGTCCCTTCTTTGTGCCAAACTTTCGCAAATTCTTGATCTTTTCATCGTTCTTGGCAGTTTCGACCACATATCTTTGCTGGTTGCTGTTCGTTAGCCATGCACCTCTCGTTTCCTTTCGTGCTTATGAGAAAGGACCGTCTGGCGTTATGGCTAATGGAATAGCCCATTTTTGAACGGACTGAATGCTGATGATAATATTTTGATTTTTCTTGTACACTTTCAATATGTATTCTACTTTAAATTTCATTTTCTTTCAAAAAGAAAATTCTAATTCACGTTCCTTTGCAAAATTCAGTTTGCCAGCAAAAAAAGATAGTGTCGCCTGGAACTTGTACCCCCAACGTCTAGCACACCGGCCTCTCACACTGGCACTGCGCTAACTACAAGCTATGTTGGGTTGTTGAGCTGTTTCACAATAATTGCAAAAGTAGTAGCTAACCCTTCAACAATACTTACGGGTAAGGCATGCATATCGTTTTCCCATACTGATTTGCTGCAACTGCTCTATTTCCTACATGTATCCTCTCCCTAGCAAAGCACGGCGTAGTAGCATACAGCGCAGCGAATGTGCGCGCTGCTAGACCATCTGTGTCTTGGCACGGAGCTGGCACGAATCTGGCACGGGTTGACACGCTCAATTTTTACTGAGGGCAACAGTCAAATAAGGTCCTGCCATAGCGGATAATGGCGCTTCTTACAGCATGGTGTACAAAGATAAGCATAATTCTGCAACAGACATAGATCAACTGCGTTTTCCTATCAATATTGATGAACATGAGATAATGAGTCAAAATATGGAGAAAGAGGCGCGCACACGAGAGGATAGTTAGTTATTGGATTTCCTTTGATTGATTTACCTGCTCTGGCAAGCATAGTATACTACATTCTTGCCTTGCTAAGCAAATACCCCACGGCATATCTGTACTCATAGCGCAGCGCGTGTGACCGCTGTTATCGCGGTCATCAGCGGTTCAATGACGCGCGGAGGCGCTCGTTTTGCGGCGCCCTGCGGATAGCTCGCTATAGTCTTGCGAGATACTCCGAGCTATCACGACATAGTCCCTCTATGTTGTGACAACCACGAGGGGTTTACTACGGGCCACGATTTTTCAAATACTCTATACCTTTGTTTGTTTCTCGTTGGGGGTGGAGGGGGGGGGGGGGGCAAGGGTCAAAGGGGACTTTGTAAAATTTCCGAAAGTCAGGGGGGACTTCGTTATACCTTTGTTTGTTTCTCGTTGGGGGTGGAGGAGGGGGGCAAGGGTCAAAGGGGACTTTGTAAAGTTTCCGAAAGTCAGGGGGGACTTCGTTTTCAAAAATCCTAGAAACTGACTCGTGCCGGGCCCTGTTCGCACTCATCAGGGTTTCAAACTTTTGCGCAGTGACACGCGGCACAGCGGGGTGACTAGACATCTGACGTCTATTGTACAGCAGGTTTATTCATTGTTTGCATCTGCACATTTCCCGGGTTCAGTAGCCATGAAACCTGACATGTACTATTCTTCTTCCTTTTCTTGATTTACTTTGCGAGTAAGCGCATGAACACATTTGATGAATTAGGCTGGCACATAAGCTTTGCAACTTTGTCCACAATTTCCTTCTCTTTGAAGAGAGCATATTCAAATTTTTGCATTATGTAGAGTCAGATATAAGCTATAAGTAAATACAAACTGCTTGATTTTTTATAATAAAATGGAAAAAATCTGATTATTTTTCTAGAAGCGGTCAAAATCAGGTTTTACTGGGCTTTTTTGACAAAAACGATGACGTACAAAAAATAAATTGCTCGAATTTAAGCAAAATGTTCTCAGAGCTTATCCATTAAGCTAGCTAAAGGAATTTCAATTTCAAATTAAGTTGAAATCTGGCGATCTCATGAATTTGAACAAGTCAAATGCATCAAAGTCGTTCTGGATGTTTGTCAAGAGTCGCAATTTTTATCGCCAGATGCCAATAGGCATAAGGCCGAAAACATACCTCACCTACATAAACCAGGGGCCGTATTCATCAACGAACCCAGTGAGTTCCGGAACCTATTGGGTTCGCGAACTCACTGTATCGGTATTCACACTCAGATAATCGCAGGGGGCAGGCGGCCATGCGATTTATGGGCGGGCGGGCACCGGAAAAATAGTTCGCTGATTTTCTGCGGTCCGCTTGCAGATATTTGGAAGAATTTTAGCGAAATTTTGGACGAACGCTAGGAGGACAAACGCGGTTTCCTTACAGATTAGCTGCGACGCAGCGGCCGCATTCTCGCGGAAAGTCCGCGGAAATATGCAAAATTTTCGAGGGCCGCACGGTTTTTTGTGGAGGACCGCGCAGCCCCCAGGTACTTTCCGCTGAGAGAAAGTACCTCAAAATTGAGTAATTAAACCATCGACGACACCTCTGCTATGTAGAGTCTCACCTTTGCTCGGCGCACGCCCGAAACCGCTTATAAACCATCCAAGCGCCAGGTAAAAATTTGACCAGCGCTCGCCGAAAAAGATTATTTGATGAGCGCCTGCAGAAAATCCTGTGTTGCTGCCCGCTGGCAAAACATGCGACAGCAAAAGAAGTACCGCTCGCTGAAGGTTTGGCCACGCCCCAAAATCCTGCTGACCGCTTGCAGAAAAGCACGAGTTTGCGGACCGCCTGCTCCCGGCGATTATTTGAGCAAGTGCCCCGCTGGGTTCGCCAACCCATGACGTCACCAATGTGCCTCCTCTAGTTGATGTACTATTTCCTCATTTTCCCACGCACACGAATCGCGCTAGACTGAAAGCGCCAGTACGCTCGACACGCTTTCGGGAACTTTAGTGTTCAAATAGATGACATGAAGCAATGTCTCTTGTGCGACAGAACTTGCACTTCCCTTATTCTGTATTTTATTCGAGTATTCTTTCGGACCCCGACATGACTGTCGACAATGATGTGTGTGGAAATGGATGCAGAAAGAGGGGTCTACTCCTTTTTTGTTTTACTAATTTTTCTTATTCAGAGTTGTTTTTTTTATCTTATAAGGAAGATATCAGCCACTTTTTTTGAAGATTGCACGGCATAACTACAGTCAAGAATCCGCCTAGACTGAACAATTGTCATGGTGCAAGGAGTAGCTAAGTTTTATCTTATGGATGCATTTGCTGCACATAACAAATAAATCTATATCTTTTTTTCGCAAACTCCTACCTGCAAAAAAAATTTTCATCATTAGTGGCAAGGTGCATATTCGCAAAAAGCACTCAAGTCTCCATTTGTATTTCTTGTGCGAGGACGCCCGAATGGTAAGGGGAGCACATTTTCCTCAGAATAGAATGTGCAAAGGAATGGGAGGGATCAAGGGAAGGTTCATTGACAGAGTTCTAATCTCTATGATGTAAACTAATATGTGATTACCATGATTATTAGTTGTTCCCTTCCCATTGGTATTTACTCCACTCGATTAAGGAACGAACGATTTTGATTAAAACCGCTTCCTTTCTTTTTCTTGATGCGTTTGTTTGCCGACTCGATCGGAATGAGGGGAGAGGGGGAGCAAAAACTTTTTATCAATTTGCGAAATGTTTTTTATTAATTTGC